TGTAACCCCTACACCTAAGACTCAGGGAACATCATGGAGGAGGAGGCAGAAAAATTGTAAGAACCATATATGGCTTTAAACAACTTTTGTATGCATCCATATGAGTGTGTATGTGGGTGTGTGTACCTTGTGTGCATGTAGAGAAGCCAGAAAAGGGTGTTGAGTGTTCTCTTCTATCACTCTTCTCCCATTCTTTTGAAGCAGGGTCTCTCCCTGAGCCTGGGGTTCCTACTAGGCTAGGCTGGAAGCCAGCAAGCCCCAGTGGTTCTTGTGTCACCACCTTCCTAGGAGTTGGGCTCATAAGTATCTGTGGGGCTATCCAGTTTGTTAGGTGGTTTCTGGGATCTAAACTCCAGTCCTCATGATTGTGGAGCAAATGGTCTTAATTGATGAGCCATCTCTACATACCATAGATGACTTTTATTATGTTTATTTAGTTGTCTTTTGTTCTTAGTTTGTTGGCTGATTTTGTCACAGAAGAGTATTAAAATCTTTTGGTTGGTTTTCTTTGCATCAGCAGATAATTATATGGTCCGTTCCCATTTTTTGATACTCATTATTGCATTTGGTCATGGTGCGTACTCTTGTAGGTATGCTCCAAGATTCAGTTTGTTCATTATTTTGTTGGCTTAATATACTAAGGCCCCCATTTCCTTATTTTATGTCTGGTTGTTGTGTTCATTAATGACAGTAGGGTATTGAAATCGCCCTTATTGTAGAACTGCCTGTTTCTCCTAGCATTTCTGTCACCTTATGCTTCTTATTTCACCAGTGTTATACCTTTCTGTACTGAACTCTTTTTAATTTTAATTTTTATTTTATGTGTATGAGTGTATTGCCTGCATGTATGTGAGTGCACCCATGTCGTGCAATGCCGCAGAGGTCAGAAGGGGGCTTCGGATTCCCCTGGAACTAGAGTTAAGGATGGTTTGTAGCCGCCATGTGGTGCTGGGAATCGAACCCAGGTCCTCTGCAAGAGCAGTCAGTGCTCTTAACCACTGAGCCATCTCTCCAGCCTCTAAGCTTTTAACAATATGTGATGTCTTTGTGCCTTGAAATGCTTTTTGATTTGAAGTCTGTTTTGTCTTATGTGTTAGCATATCTACTCATGCTCCATTTTTGTTATTGTTTCTGTGGAATGTCTTTTCATGTTTTTTTACATTCAGTCCATCCTAATTTATTTTTTTATTTTATTTTATGTGTATGAGTGTATTGCCTGCATGTAGGTAAGTGCGCCCATGTCATGCAATGCCCATGGAAGTCAGAAGAGGCTGTCGGATCCCCTGGGACACTAGTTACGGACAGTTGTTAGCTGCCATGTGCTTTTTTTTGTTTGTTTGTTTTTTGTTTTTTTTTTGAGACAGGGTCTCCTTGTAACCCCAGCTGGCCTGGAACTTATTATGTAGACTAAACTGTCCTTGAATTCACAGAGATCCACCTTTCTCTCTTTGTCTCCTGAGTGCTGGGATTAAAGGTATGTGCCACCATACGCAGCCTTACATCATAATTTTTTTAAGAATTCATTCTCCAACCTCTATGGTTTTCTTTTTTTTTATTGTCTTTTTGAGGCAGGGTCTCCCTGTAGCTCTAGCTGTCCTGGAACTCACTATGTAGACCAGGCTGGCCTTGAACTCATAGAGATCTGCCTGCCTCTGCCTCCAGAGTGCTGGGATTAATGCACCACCACGCCTGGCCTCCAACCTCTGTGTTTTGATTGGAGATTTTAACCCATTTACATTTAAAGTAATTGCTGATAAGAAAAGACTTTGTTTTTTTTTGTTTTATTTTATGTGTATGAGCATTTTGCCTACATGTATGTAGGTGCACCATGTCCTGCTGTGCCTGCAGAGTTCAGAAGAGTGCATTGAATTGCCCTGGAACTTAAGTTATTGATGGTTGTTAGCCTCCAAGAGGGTGCTGGGAATTGAACCTGTGTCCTCTGCAAGAGCAGCCAGTGCTTTAACTGCTGAACCATCTCTTCAGTCCTGACTTTTGTCATTTTGAAACTTAAAAAGTATATGGTGGCGTACACCTGTAGTCCCAGCACTTGAGAGGCAGAGGCAGGCGTATCTCTGTGAGTTCAAGGCCAGCGTGGTTTACATAGTGAGTTCCAGGACAGCTGGGACTACAGGGAGACCCTCCTTCTAAAAGACACACACACACACACACACACACACACACACACACACACACACACACAAGTATTTGTTTGTTTGTTTATTCTGCATGTGTGATGGCTTAAACCTGCCATGGCAGGTATGTGGACATTAGGGGACAACTTGTGGGACGCTCTGAGGATTCGACTCACATTGTCAGGCTTGATGTCAAGCACCTTTGTCATTTTTGTATTTGTTTTCTATATGTTTAATAGGTCTTTTTTTTTTGTTACTCATATCCTAGATTAATCTCTATTGTGTTTCGTTTACTGTTTATGTAATGAAACATTTAAATTCTCTTTTCTGTAGCTATTTTCTTTGAAGTTACCTCAGGGTTATTAAGACCTCTAATTATAACATTCTAACTGAATTTATATCAGTTTAAATACAATAACATACCAAATTCTGCTCATTTAACAATTATTTCCATTCGTTGTTGATGCTATAAATTACATCTTTATATGTTGTCTGTCCCAAATAGTAAACTAATAATTCTTTTTTTTTTTTTTTTTAGCTAGTTTTAAAAAACCAGAGGGAACCATATTAGTCCAACAACCTACTGACAAATTATACATACAACTAGTTCAAGGAACAAAATATATGTCTAGTCAAGGTTTATCTGAGAACATTTGGTTTTTGCCCAGGCTTTATCTACATGGCACATGGTAATTAAAAGAACTAGACTAACCTTCTTGGATGTTTAACAGCCATACTTTGAGGCTTATACTAATCTGGTCAGGGGGACTTAAAGGAAAGTTTTTGCTTCTTGCCCTCCGAGGTCGACTAAGTTCCAGGGGACTATGGAGTATCTCTCAAAATGTCAAAATGTGGTGAGTCACCTGTCTTCTTGTTCAGGGAGGCCATGGAGATCCCACCAGATGAATGTGAACCAGTGTCCAGTCTACAAAGAGGAGGGTCAACACAGAGGAAACATTTCCTCCATGCTTCCTAGTGAAGCCAGCCATGGTTGAGCAGGACCTTTGATTTATCTTCACATAGATGGAACTGGTAAAAAAAAGGAGCCAGGGCTCCTTCCAAGCCCATTTGACCCCTGAGGAACAGATCCTCAAATGACCTTAAGAGTGAAAATAAATTGGTTTATTTGGGCCAACTGTATCATCTTAAACACCCAAAAGGAAAGTATAACCAAAGATTAAAGTGATTAATCAGTATATTTCTTTAAGAGTCCATGTGCGTGATGGGGCTGTATAGATGGCTCAGCAGTTAAGAACACTGGCTGTTCTTGCAGAAGACCCGGATTCGAATCCCAGCACCCACATGGCAGCTAATAACTGTCTGTAATTCCAGTTCCAGGGGATTCAACAGCCTCTTCTGTCCACTGCAGGCATTGTACAACACGGTTGCACTTACCTACATGCAGGCAATATGTACATACACTTAAAATTAAAAAAACGATATTAAGAGTCCATGTGTATATAGCTAAAGGCTACGTAACAAGAAACAATGCCAGTCAGGAGATACCTTCCTTTGAGTTGTTGGCCAAGGTGGCCCAAGAACAGCAGACCCCAATCTTATCTAAAGGAATATTGACAACTGATTGCTGCTAGATGAGGAAGTGCTGATCTTCCTAAAACAAGGAACTCTTGGTAGGCTGAGTAGATTCAGTGGATGGACTAGCACTGGGTAACAGCGAGGGACATTGATAACATGCTGGACAGTAACAGGGATAACAAAGTATATGGGCTCTCGGGGTGGGATGGGGTGAGGGGAATCTATGGGAGGGTGCCATTTGGGATTCGGGTGTAAAGATAAGATTGTTTGGGATGTTCTGTATGAAATACACACACACACAATCAATAAAAAATAAAAATTAATTAAAAAAGATGAATAATATTGTTTGGGATGTTCTGTATGAAATACACCAAAAAATAAATTAAAAAATTTCCTGGGGGTGGGGGGACATAAACTAATAACTCTTTTAAATGTGTTAATCTCTGAAATTATCAAATTTGCAGTTAAGTTACAACATTGCTAGATTTCATACTAACTGTGTTTTAAGAATGTTTTAGTTTCTTGAATCATGTAGAAAACAAAATTCAGTTATAAATGGAGACTGTTGACTTTTCTAATTACCCAGGTGTTCATCTTCACTGAGACCTTTCTTTCTACATACAGCCTGTAGTTACTATCTGTTCTCCTTTTATTGTGTCCTTTATAGCTCCCTTGAGTATTTCTTATGGGTAAGGTCTAGCAGTAATGAACTGTCTTTTTGTTTATTTAGGAATGTCTTGAAGGACTGTTTGAAGGCTCTTTAGGTTTCTTAGTTTTCTGAGACTTTATCACATCTCATAATATTAGTATCATAAATGTATCATTAATGTTAGTGAGATTTAGGTCAAGGTGGTCTGTGTAAAACTGAAGATTTGTGTCTTTTGTAGATGATTGCTTCTACCTCTTACTACTAACCAATGAGTATGATTTGAATACATGAATACTGTTTTATGAATCTTGCATATTACTGTGTAAATTAACAGAAAAATTCTCTGATTCCTTTAGGGGGAGTAACCAAACTGATTTTTTTTTTAATTTTCAAAAAATTTATTATTTTATGTGTATGAGTATATTGCCTTCATGTATGTGAGTGCATTGCCACAGCAATCAGAAGAGAGTGTTGGATTCCCCTGGAACTGGAGTTAAGGACAGTTCATAGCCACCATGTGGGTGCTGGGAATCGAACCCAGGTTCTCTGCAAGAGCAGTCAGTACTCTTAACCTCTGAGCCATCTCTCCAGCCCCAACAGTGAATTCTTTTATAAGTCTGCTGTACTTTTGAATTTAATAGTGGAAACTGGATCTGTTACTGTTACTGTTTCTTCTTTGGCAGTGAGGGAGAACAACCTGCAGGAAATCAAGGAGGACTTGGAATTGGATCCAGAGGAGAACAGCACCCTTTTTATGGGTATCCTTATCAAGGGGCTGGCCAAACTGAAGAAGGTCCCAGAGACAGTTAAGGCCATCAAAGAACGCTTGGAGCAGGAGCTAAAGCAGATTGTGAAACGGTCAACGACCCAGGTGGCAGACAGTGGCTATCAGAGGGGAGAGAACCTCACTGTGGAGAATCAGCCAAGGTAAATGGGGTATAGTTTTGTTTTGTTATCTCTATTTATTGTACATTTTCTAGGGTGGAGAGTAAATAACTTTGGTGTTGGTAGTCTTTTCTTTAACATGGTTTACTATATTCCATAGAGACTCAAGCCAGACATTATTCTGTTTTGTGTTGATGCTGTTGTGAAATTTAAATATATTGTCCATATTCACATACAATGAATGAGAGATATAGATACATCCATAATGAAGATTTATGTTCTGATGTATTGAGTGAATAAATGACAAAGGAGAATGTGGCAGTTGTTGAACATGCGTTGGTTACCAAGCAGTTGTTAAATAATTTATGTGTATTACCTCATTTAGATCTTACTACTGCTCTGTGAGATACTACATCTTATAGTAGGAGATTTGAGATGCAGACACAGGTATTTGCTGAAGCTTGTGCAACAGGAGGCTGGTCTTGGAATTGAATACAAGCCCATTTGATTCTGAACTCTGAGGTCTTCTCTCATGCTTTCTTCTTTATGCTGGTGATATTTGCTAATAGGTAAATATCAGAAATTCCTAAATTTACTCAAAACAATAGCTAGGATTTGAATTTCAAAATTTTTGTTTCATAAGGAGAAAATGGAAATTGTATTCAGATATCCTAAGCCTGTGAATATTATACATTGGGAGAACATGTTTGTCAAATCAGATGTTAGGGAACAGTAGTCCAATATTGTTTGACAGTATTTGAAATTGGTATTTCCCTGAAAATCAGATTCACTGTAAAGGGGTTTATCTCACCGTCACCTGCTCCCCCCACAAACTCCCACCTACACAAGGCATGTACAGAGGCAGGAATTTGGCATGAAAAACAAAAGTTAATGGGCATTTCAGTTTTATTAGAGAATAGAAGGCAAGTGGATGTAGTGGAGGTGAGGCCTAAGAATCTGGAGTTAGAGGGCAGCCTCGGCTACATGGGGAGACCCCTGTCTCAAGAAAAAAAGAATCACATGAGTATCAAAGAGAAAAAGGTAGTTTTCTCATTTACTCAGATGGATGTGCTCCTGGGAAATGTTAGCACATGAAGGGCTATAATCTTGTTAATGAGCTGTTAAGGAGACTCTACTGTTTTTACTTAATGCTTACACTTTAAAAAATACATTAAAAAGAATTAAGAAGAAAGAATAGTAACTCACATAGACTTTCTAAGATTTATTTTAATATTTTAGAAAAACTGACATATTCTTTTTATATTTTCAATTTTTTTTGTATATCTAAGTAAGACTAATTTTAATTGATGTGAAAGCCCTTCAGAAACAATTTTCGTGTGAGCTTCATTCAAAAATACTATGGCTGGTGAAAGAAAACAAAACAATAGCAACAAATAATATAAACATCTGCCTGGGTGTCTCCTGTTAGAACGAACCAAAGCAGGTGGTTGATGAGCATGGGTTTTAGAGCAGATCTGACAGTGTTTGAGCTTGATACTTCCCTTATAGGGCTGCCTTCTTTAGAAGAGGCTATCTGGTTATGTTGCTTAGCAAGTACATTGTACACATTCATCTCTATACCAATACATGTGTTTGTTACTGGTGCCTTCTTCAGTTTCCGTGTTTTTCATCACTCATGTCATGATCCAGAGAAGTTAGGGAATGGTTCAGAATTGAGCTTTTCTTTTTTCTTTGCTTGGTGCCTGGATTTCCACCCAGACCTTTTGACTTCTTGCTAATGAATACTCTAAAATTCTGCTTTGCTATTTGCCCTATTGCTGCAAGTCCCCAGAAAACTAGACTGAACTTTCATAGGGAAATAACATTACTATAATATATACTGGAAATAAAGCAAAAGGGCACAGATCAATAACTTTCCTGCAGATCTCATTATAGTGCCCTTAAAAACATTGTGCCTTTCACAGGATTTTGACTTCTTCTTCTTCCATTGCCTCAACTGCTTCCAGAATTCAGGAGTGAAAATTACATCAGTAGAAGTAGAAATTCAGCTTCTTGCCCCAGGAAATTAAAAATGATTCTCTGTGATGAATGAGTCAGCAGCAGGTTTTCTATTCTTTCCCCTCTTTAAGTTTGGGGGGGAGGTGGGCAGGAAATATTGGATGCTAAGGAAGTGAGCAAATTGTTCATCTCTGCTTTTTTTGTCTGTAGTATAATCCTAGTTTATAAAACCCCCAATCTAAAATACTTTGACCGGAACCCTTTATTATATGATAAAATATTACAGAGAAAACAAACACAGGATAAACCATGTCATTTGAAGATGAAAGATTAAATTATTAAACTAGGATTCTAAATGACTGACAGTTTTGAGCTGGCCTTTGGTAGCTAGTTTATGATAGCTATCAGATGCCTTAATACTTCTTTTTTTTAAAAAAATATTTTATTTAGTATTTTTATTTTATGTGTGTGAGTGTTATGCCTGTGTGTAAGTAAGTGCACCCATGTCATGCAATGCCTGTGGAGGACAAAAGAGGCTGTTGGATCCCCTGGAACTGGAGTTACGGACAGTTGTTAGCTGCCATGTGGGTGCTGGGATTCAAACCTGGGTCTTCTGCAAGAACAGTCAGTGTTCTTAACTGCTGACTCATCTCTCCAGCCCAGCCTTAATATTTCTTAAGAATTAATTCCCTTGAGGTAATCAGACATTCAAAAATGACTAGCATTGTTGCTTCTAGGGGATTGGAATTTGGGAAAGGATATTATCAAATGGTCCCTTAAGTGTGTTTATACATGCTTATGTGCATACACATACATGCGTGTGTGCATCAGACTTTACTTAGATGCTAGTGACATCTGTTTCAGAGAGAAGTAAAATCACAGTATTTGTTATTATTATTATCATAATTACTATTATTTTACCATTTTGAGAATGTTATGGCTATAGGTAGAAGAATTTGTTTTCCATAAGCATAATAGATGTATAGGTAAAAAGAACCATCCATTCCCAACTTGGATATTCTCTGGTCTACCTCCTAATGAACTATCTTATTCCAAAATATTAATATGTAAATGCTACATACACTGAGGCAAGATGCCAGTACTGTAAGTTTCCCTAAAAGTTTCATTGTTCACCATCTTGTTAAATATATTCTGGTTGTGATACATTGCAGGCCTGTTTCTTTTTGTCTTTATTCAAAGGGAATTAATGTTCTGTGTTATTTTGCTAGAAATGGAGAATGAACCATGCTAGTGAATTCTGTCTTGCTTTAATTTCTGCAGAGCCAGAATACTACCTTTGCCACTTAAAAAAATATCACTTTGGTAACCTACTTTTATTTTTCATCTCCCCTAACTGTCCATTAACTAGTCTTTGGAATATTCCATCTCTTCTGTGCTTTCATTATGTGTTGGTATCTATAAGCGTCTACACACTGTTAAAGGAAAATAGTCAATGCCTTTTATCCTGAACTTGTGTTAACATGAGAGTGATATGAGCCTCACTAATCTATCAGAACCACCTGCTACCCATTGTTTACTCTCAAGGGTTGCAGCTTCAACTTCAGATGGCAAACATGGCTTGCAGCCTCTGTAGTTAAGAACCAGTTTCTTCAATTCCTGCTGCCTTATTGTTGATTATTTCCCCAAATTCTAGCTTATGAGATTTTTGTATCATTTTTGTTCAAAGAAGTTGGAAGAAGTTCTGTAATCACAAATACTAAAAGCAAAAGGAAAAGACTGAAGGAAAAGATTTTCCCATAAGTGTGAAGTTTTGTCAAGAATAAGGAAGAGAACAGGATGTGGGACAGGAATGATTGGGGAGTGGGGTGTGACAAGCACTCTTTTTGAAAATAGTTCTGTCTATACATGAAGCCAACATGCATTGCAGGGAGTGATGCTAAAGGCCTGTTCCACTGTGGTGAACTGTTGTTCTAGAACAGGACAGAAAGAACTGAGGGAGCTGGAGCTGTTGGGGACCCCTGCTGTGAAGTAGAAGTCCCTTCACGTCCGGACAGCTCACGCAGCTCGGATTCATGTGCTGAGACTCCTTTCAGCAGAGTACCTGGCATCCTTCCTGACTCCTTTTGAAGTGCCCGCCACAAATGCTCTAATAAACATGGCCTTTGGCACTGAAAGATACCATGCTTTCCTGTGTGATTTTTCCATGCAGTCAGCAGTCTAGCAGCGTGGAAGAAATCCACTTCCATATGTAAATAGAATGTCTCACAGAATATCTATCAGCCAAAGCTTTTACCACTACCCCCATGGTATAAATATCCCAGTCTTTCTCTAAATATCAGAGAGCTGGGTCGCAGAGCTGCTGAATCACCGAGAGCAGAGACACTTAATAAAGCTGTAACACAGACTAAGCCGAGTCTTGAGTCTTGTGTCTTACTACCGGCGACCTAGCCTCTCCGGGGGGCAGCACTCCTCCGTTACCGACTTGCGGACATTCCTAGCTTTTGCCGTTCTTGTACTCTTCCCACGTGGTCCAATGGCCAGTGGACCTCGCTTCCTGAGGAAAGTACATGGGTAAATTAAGGGCAGGATTCGGCTGGACAACGCTCCAGCAGCAGAGGAACTTTCAGCACCGGAGCGGTGGACGCGCAGGACCCAAAGCGGCTGAAAAGCCCGTGGGACACCCGCCGCAGCTCCCAGAGAGGCGCAGCCAGAGCCAGACCCGCGCCGCAACTCGCCAGGTGTGGCGGGGACCTCGAGATACCCGCGCACCCCACGCCTGGGGCCCAGAGTGACCCCTGTATGGAGCCATGGCTGCCAGGGAGAACGTTCTCCCTTTTGAGGGAGACTATTTTGCAGTGTTAGAGACCACTAATATGAAGAAGGATAATTAATTGTCAGTTTTGAAAACAAAGAGAATTACATGTTTTGTAAGATGGTATTTTTAAGAAGAAAAACCATGGAAAACACTAGAACAAAATATACTTTAATGGTTAAAGTGGTAAGGCTATAGGTTCTGGTACCCTGTGAACTCATTTTACAGCTTGTATTAACGTGTCAAAAAATTGAAAAATAGAAATTAATTTAAATAACTATTTTAACCAGAAGAAATTAATAATGAAAAT